TGAACCCAACTATTGATACATTAAAGATTTTTATAAAATCAATGATTTCATCTAATGAACCCAAACTAGGAATGGATTTTATGGAGGAGGCAAAAGAAAGATTCGGCGAGAATTGGAATAATTATGAAGTTTTAAACGAAATTGAGAAAGAATTTAAAGAGCAGTTTGAAAAAGATAAATATTTAGCTGAGTCATTTTATGAATTAGAAAAATTATTAGAAATTAAATAATGAATTATTTATTTTCCTAAAATTAATTATGTATTTAAATTTTATTAATTATTGTTTGTAACTTCAATCATGTACAAATTCATTTTATTTGAATGAAATATTATTACTCTATAAAGCAAAAGGTGATCTGACCTACTATTTAAGGGTCTCCAACAGATTACAAATCTATTATCCGAGTTTTTTTAATGCGATAAAATTTTGGTACCCAGATATCCATAAAAAAATTTAATACTGCAAGGTACCTTTCTATCATTTAACAAATATGGCCGATTATGACTTAATTTTTGGGCTACTCTTATCAGTTAATTTCAATACACAATAATTCAATTAGTACCTAGAAACTTCGGCGAACTTGAATTCGAATAACTATAAATAAATTTTTTATAAAGTTCAAAGCTTCTATAAAGCTCTTTATATTCACTATGACCAATTGATTCCAGTCATTTACATTAATTGGCCGATTCCCAAACTCGCTTACTACTTAACTTAACAGCTTGTTTAACGGCCTCGCTTTACAATAACAGTTTTATTACAATACCACTATCAATATTTCCAATTAACATTTTGACAATATAAAGCAAATAAAACATAGCTTTTTACCAAAGCTCCCAATTGTTTCCTTTTTACCGAGGCACTACACTTGTTGCATTTGCCAAAATGCTTTAAACGAAAAACAAGAAGGTTGTTTTTATTTTAAAAGCTTATTATTTGTTTTCGTTGAAGAAAGTTTGCGTAGAAAAATTTCAACATTCGATTGAAGTTCAACGGTGAATTTTTATCACAATCCCGCTAAATCAGCATTGTGTAGTTTCCGGACCCTGGATAACTGTACCAAAATATTTTTCATATAAGAATTCAATGTCACGAAATTTCTGTCATTATTGTCATTATTGTTGTTATTATCAATCATGATTTTTATTGCTACCATCTTTAACTTTTATATTGTAGAATAATGAAGATACCAGGAAAACTACATCAAGGAAAATCTATTTAGAAAGCACTTGCTTATTATCTAATTACAGTCAAAGACTATTTTTGTGTAAAAGTTTTATTAGATTAATTATCCAAAATTAAAGGTTGATTAATTGCCTTTTCACTGAAAGATATTTATACTTTATTGATCAGTAGAGATTCGTACAACTTTCAATTCCGTACACAGTGAGTCTCGTTATAGCGGATAATTTGGGCAATTAGAACAAAAAAATTTCAAAAATCCGTTATACCGAGCTTAATATTAATTCAAGATTTAATTAGTAAATCCGTTAAACCGAGAGAATTTACTTATAGACGGTTCTGAGCTTTGATCCGTTAAACCGAGAAACGACCACCTAGACTTAAAAAACCTAAACATCCTAAATATGAACGAGATGCTCCTAAAAGGTATCGTTTTGGAGAAGATTTTTTGGGAAAGATTTGATGGGTAGGGTGGATTATTTATTATTAACATTATATGCGCCAGAAAATTCAGAAATCGTTAGAAAAGTAATTGAGACCTGGAGAAAGGTAAATTGTACAAATTTATAAATTTGCATTTATATATATGAGATGTATATTTACATGTAAAAATTATCATCATTGTTATTACTAGGAAAAACAATTAGAAAAAGAAAGAGCAAACCATCACTACCTTTCTAATATATAAATACTATAAATATAATATAAATCTCTTTTCTTTTTGTTCAAAACATGCCACAAACCGATAACCAATATTATTATTACTATTTGTTATAAATACAATTTAATTAATTCATCACTGACACCAGAAGGTGTCAAAACACCAAGATCTGTACACAACAAAGTGATATATTCAGGTGGTGTATAATCTACTGTTGGATTAATAACTACGAAATTTTCAACTTCTTTTTCTTCTTCTTCGCCAATTTTTGTCTCATCATCATCATTACTTTCTCCTATTTTTTTTACATGGATTTTGTTTTCCAAATCTGGAAATGTTAGTAAATCTGGTGTGTGAGTTGGTAGATCGTATTGGTTAAGTGGAAATATTCGAACAAATTTATAGCTAGAAAGAGGGAGGGAAATGAAGAGAAGTAAGAGTAGGTTGGGGAAAAGGAGAAAGGGAAAAGGAGGCGAAGTTAATAAAAATACCATAAATAATAAATTTAAATTGTTACCTTTCAATTACTGCATAAAATGGCTTATTAGCAGCTTTGGCTACTATTGCTAATTGATAAGTGCCAATCTACACCACATAATATCATAATGTACATTGATATTTAACATAAAGTATATTGACACCTATAATATAATTATAAAATGTTATTTACCGCATTAATTAATCCGCCATTTTCTACAACTCCCTCAGCACCAACAAAAACAGCATCCACTTTATCAATAATATACCCAGCAGCTGTGTCGAGTATTACTATTGCTGGAATACCATACTTTCTCAATATCTTAGTTGTCTTGATTCTAATCAATCAATCAATCAATCAATTATTTATTTATGGCAATTTAAAAATTTCTCCGAGATAAAAAATTATTAATTCGTTTTTTTACCCTGAAGAATAAGGCCTAGATTCAGTCACATAAACTTTAAATCTTTTTTTGTGTGTAGCAGCAGCTCTTTGTAAAACTAACATCACCACCCGAGAATATCCATGAATTAATATTGTCTATCGATGATGATGATGATGATGATAATTAGGGATATAGATACATTTGTATGCGCGTATATGGATAATTGCATATAAAAATATATAACAATAATAGTAACAATAATATAATAATACCGCATCATCTTTAATAAATTGTACTCCCAATCCAGCAATTTTATGGCGAGCTGCTGTAGCCTTCTCTACCAACACCTTGCCACTATTCATCAAATGCTCTTTACACGCTTCAAAATTCTAATTAGATTAACAATAACATGTGAGTGATATATATTATAAAACATATTTCACATAAATATACATTCACCATTATATATTATTTTCACACATCCACATAATTGGATATACTTAACAGTAACATCATGTGACGTCCTTGTAACAAATCTTAGAAATAAATCTGCTCCTGCTGACAAAGAAATCGAATTCTTAACTGTTGATTTCAGTAATTGACTTGCATCTTTTAACGACTCCATAAACTCTGATAACGTTGTTGCTATATATAATAATAACAACATTATTATTATCATTATTATGGTTTATTGTTACCGTAGCAATGCGTTTAGTACCTTTGCTATGCTTAATTAACTCTACTAATGCTTCTATAGCGGCAATTGGCATAGAAACATCCTGATCCCATACAATTATCCAATCAAATCAATTTTCAAAGTGTGAATGAGTGAGCAAGTCAAGGGACAACAATTATTATTATTAAAAATTAAAAATAAATTCTAACCGGATCATCTTTTAAAAACTTTTGATAACACATTACAATATCAAACTGTTCCTCTTTAACAACATTCTTCTCAATGCTATGATTATTTGAAACCGCTAAAGAGTATATATAAATGATAATTATAATAAGTAATGTGATTTTAATAGTAATAATGATAATAATGAGGATGATAATAGTAGAGTAGAATGGTTACAAATTATCAATGATTTAATTACCTGCGTTCATTTTGATTTCTTTTTGACAGAATAAAAAAATCAACAAATTTTTTTTTTATAAAATGGCTGTTACACGATAACATGAAAAATAACATTTAATTGTAGATATAATTTCAATTCCCACATAACATTTTTAAAACCTTTATGTATCAATGATTCAGCAAAGCTGTAATAAATTAACAAATTACTGCATAAAAGGGTAAATCCCTAATTTAACGCATTAATATGACTAATAATTTAGTCAAGTGACTTATTGGGGTTATGCACTCAGTCCCGATAGAAATATTCGAGCTTTAATAAGAGAATCTTCAGATAGTCGTAAAGTAAGCAGTTCACAGTCTTACTCAACTAATAAAAGCACAGCATCATCTTTTATGTATATGATGGAAGTTTAATTTCATCAGTTGATTTTATGCAAGTGATTTCTACTCATTCAAAATCAATAATTTATTATAAGAATTTTCAAAGTTTGGAAATCTCAACATTATATAATTATTCTGATATTTGGATGATAGCACAAGAACAAATTTATATTCTATTATTTTCAAATATTAACTTTAAATTTTTATAATCACACATTTGTTTTAAGCTTTTCAAATCCATTAAAATTAATGGGAAAACTCTTAAAAAGATTTATTTGACAATTCATGATAAACCTGATGACATTGAGTGCCCATCTGACACATGCTGGCTTGACCTGGCTATTCAAGGACCACAGTTAATTAATTGATTCAGATTTGCAGAAAGCTTTGAATAGCCATTTCTTACAAGACAAAGATACTATGCAACATATTGCAATCTAATACCATGTATCTTCTTTGTTACAAGTCTACTTTGAGATTTTCTAAAAAAAATTAAATGTATTTTCTTCAAGTTCATCATTCGAGTACAAATTTGATTAATAAATAGTGTTGCATAAATTTACATTAATTTTTGTTATATTAATTTATTTTTTTTTTATCTGGAAAAAAATTATTTTAGCTGTTTCTTTAGTGGTTTTTGACTAATAGTCTATGCTGTTGCATCAGAGGTCTACTCTTAGATTCCAAAGTATCACTTTTGTTACCAAGTTTCATAGATTGATTTCAATTTCATTTACATCGTATTTTGAAATAACAAAACGCAGTATGTAGAAATTGCATATCGTATTAAAAAAAAAAAGACATGTAGAAAGTGCGTATTGTACTTTTTACTAGGTACGGTATTCACCTTGAATACTCGCTTGCATTAAATTGTTGATCATTTGCATTGTTTTGAGCAAAATTTAAAGCAATCTTTTCAACTATAAAAGTCCAAACTAAATTCCGCTCAGGAAAAATTATTTTCTGCTCAGAAAAGAACTATATTATTAGTATCATCATACAAAATTTGTGGTGATGTAAACAAGTGGTGGTATACCATTTTTCTAATTGGGTACTTTCTCGATATATATCCAAAGATCGCGTGAAAAATTGGCGCAGCATTGATGAATTGGGAAAATCGTAAAAACAGCCCTAACAGCAAAATCTCGATTTTGAGTTAATATTATGATAACAAGTACTAACCAATTACTCTATGTTTTGACCAAACAACTGGTACTTGGCGTGTTATGTCATTTAAATTATACAATACAATGTAGTAATTATTAGTGTCCATAATTTTGCAGTCACCTCGTCAAATGTTGTATTAGTATCTTCAACAGTATCATGCTAATTAATATACAAACGATGTGAAAAATAAAATATCCAATTATCTTTAACAAATAATTTGAAAAAAAAAAAGAATTACCAAAGCAACAGCTTGTAATGTAGCAATATCATAAACACCAGCATCTGCTACACCAATTGGAAATATCAATAAATAAAATTTACGTGTTTAGCCCAAATCTTTTCTTTTTGCTTTGAATGCTTATCTGCAGCAAAGTCATAGCATCCATTAAACCTTTCAGTGCAATACCAGGTTGTGTTATTGGAATGCAAAAAATCCTCCACATACCTATTACGTGATAAAATCCAAATAGATTTTTTATTTTCGGTTTCATGAAGCACTTATGGTGTTATTTTCTTTTTTTTAAAAGGTTTGAGTATTAAAACAGTTTTTTGAGTTTAAAAACAGTTTCAGAGTTTCGAAATAGTTTTATTTGAATAAAAGTTCAATCATTTAATTTGAATACTAAAATTAATTATGAACGGTTGGAGTGATTTGAATAATTATTGTTATTATTCGAATAGAAACTCCAATTAAAAATAATTATATAAATTACACGAGCGTAAAAAAACTTTTTTATATATGAAAAATCTCATTCATCCTTACATCTCCAAGAGTAACCCTTTTTTTCGATATTCTTAATAAAAAAAATGTATAGATATCTTCTTTGACATTTGTTCCATAACGCAAAATAAAAAATATTATCCGTTTTTTTATCCAAACTGTGACCGCTGATCTTTAGATTTATAGACGGATCGTCAATTAATATTAGTACTTTTTGCGCTCTGACAAGTTGACCCAAACGAATTACGGGGGTAGTTACATGTTAGTAGTATTGGATAGATTTCAACATTGGATCTTTATATAATATATAAATGTCAAAAAAAAATAATAATTAAAATTATAGTAAATTTTTTGATAGCACAAAAACAAGTCAAATAGTTAATCTTTGATTTCAAGTGGCAACATTAACAACCAACACATTCATATTTAATAATTTTTGCGAATCTATCTATTTGGATGAGAATATTTATTAAATGTCAATATTCCTTCCTCATGCTATTGGTGGAAACATTCCACTTTCAAATATTGAATCCTATGAAGTATTTATTTATTATTATTATAGACCATTTTTATCAGATTTGATTAACATTAAATAAAACTTTACCAAAAAAAAATTTTTCAATAATCTTTGATTGTAAGGCTGTTGATGTAATTTTTTTTTTTTATAATCTAATGAAAAGGAAGGACTTCTACCTTTTTGCAATAAATTACTTGGTAAGAAATCGACAGAGGTGGTCTATTTAAAAACAAGATTTATGTATTTTATATTATGTATGAGGTTTATAAAGGCGATCCAGATTATTTTTTTATTATTCATGTAAACCTTTTTTTTAAAATTTTAAAAAGGAGAGAGAGAGTAATGAATAAGAAAAATGAATAAAAATTTTTTTATTCAATAATTCAATCATTACGTATATATTAAATCATAATATATTTAACTATTTAATCATGCTAGAGTGGTTCGCCAGTTCTTGCACTTGTTGGATAGATTGGTAATAAAGCTGCGGCAACATTTCTTCCTTCCTCTGTTAGAACATTAAATGTTGATGCAGCATTATCCTAAATAATCAATATCATTAATATTATTATAATATACAATCGTGTAAAGAATTATGCCACCTCCAATCATTAATAATTACCGAATCCATAGCATCTAATTGCATTCCTAAATCATATATATAATTTTTTATTTCTAAAGGAATTGGAACAAACCTTTGACCAGTTCCAAATATTAAAAGTTCTATATATTATTATAATATTAAATAAATAAATAAATAAATAAATATATGTATATATTAGAGATATATTATATACACATAAGGGATTAGAAAAGATTAATTTTAATTACCAGGTTTTGGAATTACAATTTCAAAAATCTTTAAAAAGTTTTTATTCCATACATCAAAAACACCTTTCCCACCACTATTAACCTTTTGGGGTACATCCCATAAAAAAAGATTTTTATTTAAAATTAAGATTGGACCTCTAATTTTTAAATTATTTGAAGTGACAAAACCATGTTTAGTCAATCGATTAATTAATATCGATGAACGTGATATTGAATCATCAAACATGTTTGTAAATGGTACAGAAGACGTTGAATTTTTTTGTTGGCCATGGTTAATTGATGAACTGTGATATAAAGAAGAAGAATATTTATAAAGATCTTTAATATTTTTTGTTAAATATAATAAGTGAATATTTTGTAGAAACATCTTATCAGTGAACATCACAAGGGGATCAAAATGACACAATTATAACGTGACCCCTACAAAATTTCCAAAAACTGGGTAAAAAAAAATCAAAATTCTCGGAGCAAAAATTTTTTCGATCACTGAGCAAATACTAATGCCATTTTTGGTAGTTGTCAATCTATCAATTATCTTATCAATCAATCTTATCGATTTTTATTCTTAATATATTAATAATGGTTGACAGCAACGCAAATGGTATTGACGAATCAGCAATTGAAAAATTAACAGAACTGGTAACCTTTGATCATTTGCTTTTTTATTCCTGCAATTGCAACTACACTTATATATTGTATAACGTTTTATTAATCTATTTTTTAATCATTAGGGTTTTAATAAAGATCAAGCACTTGATGCTTTACTGGTAATCATTCTTCCATTCTCATCACTCTCATTGTTTTTCATTAATAACTTATATTAACTAATGTTAATTCCAATACTTCAATTCAAAAAAGAAACATAACAACATTGTTGATAGAGCTGCTGATTACCTTTATTCCAATACAGATTCAGATGTAAATTTACCCAAGAATAATAAGAATAAGAATAATAAAAATAACAGTTACAATGATTATTGCTTATTAATAATATTGATCAGTCTAATTGGGATTTTGTTTAGATTCCTAACTTAACTTCATTAACTTCATCTGATCCAAATAAGCAAAATACTTGGGGAGATTCTGCAACCCCCAGAAACAATGACGGTGCAAATTATATTCTATTATATTTTGTGGATATATATATATGTAATATATTAATTATATTTATTATAATAACATTAGAATGGGATACAGATGTAAAGACTGCTATTGCTGCTTCTATGGCAGATCAAGATGAGCAATACAGGAGAGCTATGCATGCAAGTTTGACCAATTCTACCTCACCTAATCCGATGGAAACTTCATATTCAAATTCAAGATATCAATCATCCTCTGATAATTTCGATTCTAAAAATTCTGCTGTTGTTTTATATAATAAAGATAATTTTAGAAATATTGATAATTTTAGTAATGATATAAATAATAATAATAACAATAATAACTACAGCAGCAGCAGCAGCAGCAACAACAACAATAAGGTATTTAATTAATTATCTTTTTAGTTGATATAATTTTTGATTTTTTTTTAACATCTAATGTACATTAGAATGGTGATGGTTCTCAATCAAACAGTTCCAATCAAAATTATATTAATGGATGGGGTGATTTTATTGATCCGGAACAACCAATGAAACGACAGAAGTTAGATACAACGTATTTATTTTTATTCTCAATTTTAATTTTTTGTTTTTTTAAGTTTTTAAAAATTTTATTAGAAATTAATTATTCCTTTCCTCTTCTTCAAATTCTTTTCTGATAATTAAAGACCTCTTGGATTAAGACCAACATTTGATTCATATTATGTTACTTCAATTATTCAAGCTTTATTTCATATTCCAATAGTTCGTTTATCTATATTGAAATTTACACCAACAAGAGAATCTTGGGGTGAAGTGGAAGGTTATTGGAAAGGAAAAGCTCAAAATTTATCGATTACAGATAATGACTATTATGGTGATCCTGAATTTAATAATGACAGAAAATATACTTTAATATGTATGTACTTTTCACTAAATTTTCTTTCAAAATTTTTTTTATGAGATTTTACAAATTTTATTTATTATTTATTGATGAATTAATTGATTATTTATCAATGATTATTTATTTAGTCATGCATGAACTACAAAAGCTTTTTGCTTTCTTGACTTTAAGTCAAAGAACATTTGGTGATGTGACTCCTGTGATGAGTGCTATTGGAATGGAAGATATCATTTGTGGATGGGATCAGGCCACGAGTAAATTTATTTATCTTTCATAATTATGTCATTGTAATAATTATCATTGTAATTATAATAATATTGTAAATTATAATCATTGTCATCATCATCATCATAATTTTAAATGGTTTAGGATTTTTTGATAAAATAATGAAATTATTTAATTACGCTTCCTTTCTTCGTGACAAGGTTAATCCATTTGATAATGGAGATTCTGCAATTTCTGATTCAGGGATATTATCATTCGATAAGTAATTATTATATATTTCATATTTCATACATAACTCGGGAAATTAATTAATTATATTATTTGTATTATTTTAGTCTTTTTAAATCTATTATTTATCGCGGACATGAAGGAACTAATCAAAGAAAGGAAGAGATCGTTAATACTATAATATCCTTTACATATATAATCTAATGCTTTGCAGTATTATTAAATTTTATTCTTAACTGATGAAAACCCATTAGAAATATCTTATCGTGCTAATACAGTTTATTTAGCCATTGATGCCTTTTTATCCAAAACAGATGAAACTTTTTATCAAAAAGATTTCTTTGGATCATTATCCAAGATTCTGATTATGACTGTAAACAATAAACCTGAATATAATGATACTAATTCATCCAATTATAATAATCAATGGTTTCAAATTGATAAAGAAATTTATATGGATCGTTATTTAATCTCTAATGCTAGTGAAGTTGAAGACTGTTTGATGAAATCTGGTGATATAAAGCGTGAATTGGAACAATTAAATAAAAAAATTAACAACATAACGAATTTTCAAGTAATTTAAATTATAATGATAAAATCTTATTTATTTATGATCTTTGCTTATTTATTCATATTTATATATGGCTATTAGGAAAGATACAATGGCCAAGATTTACTTAAAAGTTCAATTAAGCTTTATCACAAAGCAAAAGAAAATGGTGTATTTGATGAAAAGGCACAGAAAACTTGTGCATTCTTGGAAAAAGCACTGGAACAAACTGAAAAAAAAATAGCCTCATTGCTTGAAAGAAAAGACAAATTGGAATTGAAGCTTAAACAAATTTATGAAACACCTAATATGAAAAATCATCTTTATAATCTCCGATCTGTTCTAATTAATGATAATATGGGTACAAATTCCGATCATTTTTGGGCATACATATGGGTTTCCAACTCGAATAAACCTATAGGAAAATTTAGCACTTCTAATGGTGGCTGGTGGAAATTCCGTGATATGAAAGTTGAAGAGGTAAATATTGAATGGTGGATGTGTGAACATGCAATAATAATAACTTAATTTTTTTGATTTATTTATTTTTAAGGTTACCGAAGAAACAGTATTAAATGATTTTACTGGTTTATACACTTCTCGTGGTATTTATACTCTGATTTATGTTGCTGCTGATGTAGATTATAATTTCTCAAACATATCAGATGCCATTCCATATTCACTAAAGGTAGGTTATTTATTACATTTAGATTTATAGTTTAGAATAAATTATTAATATAATGATTAAAAACTCGTTGTTGTTAGGAATTTATTGAAAAAGATAATGAATTATTAAGTCAAGAAACACAAAATAATTTCCGAGACAGAGAAACATCACAAGAACAATATAATCAATACTCTCAATCAGAATTTTCTTCTGGAACTGGTGAGGCTTGGAGAAACAATGGCGCCTTGAAAAATGATCCGATGATGTGTGGTGATGGTGATCTAAACGATATTAATAATGGGATTGAGTTTACGAAAAATTAGCATATAAATATGCTAATATTAGGCATATTATTAGGTTATTAGGTATCAATATATATTACTTGTATACTATTATTATTTGTTGTATCAGAATATTTAAGATAATTTTTTTTTAATGCTTATTTCATACTTTCACAAAATTGCATTTTGTTTATATCATAGATTTTTTTTTTTGTTGTAACAATTTTTCAGCTGCTCAATAATAAGATCATATAAACATTAACTGTAAAATAATAAAAATTATGTGAGGCATGCTACGACAAAATAAACATTATGTCACAGGAGTCAAATTTTGGTCATTTTTTATTTTAAAAAATAAAACTTAAAAGATGCTTACGAATTCTTTTATGAATTATTGGTTGACTGTTTGCTTCATCCAACAATCTACAAAAGAATTACTCCTGTAAAAGAACACGATACAAGCAAATAAAGAGTCTGAGATGGAACAAGTTTTATTTAATGGCAACTTTCTTCTCTCCATGTAACTCATATATTTCAGTAGTTACTGCTTCCACTTTAAAAAATTTTTACCAATGGAATACAATCCTAGGGAAAAATAATAAATTCAGGAATGGGTCAATATGAAGAGAATAAAGTGATGGAGATTATGATGGAGATTATGATGGAGAAAACAATGCTATTAATAATAAACATGGTACATAGATTTCTTCCAGAGTGGCTAAAGAAAAGCATCCCATGTAATTGCTCTGATAGTTTCTATCTTATTCAATATCTATATACGGTATATATAAATTAAAATCATTTTATCCTTTTGTTGTTGTTTGATCTTTTCCTTGAACGTGAATAATCCTCATTGTTGTGTATTAGTATGTTTATTTGAAATTGAATGTGTGGAAATTAACAAACTGATAAATTGAGTCACCAAGTAATGATAATACTAAGACCATGCAAAAACAACCTTTTAAGAAATCGATTTCGGGAAAGCCACACAATATCCTCACTTCGAATTTAACTAAAAAAAAAAAAAATCAAATTCTAAACATAATTAACGACAACAATTCGTTATGAAATATTTGGCAATTCCTTCTTCATCAGTTCCTAAGACTTTTTTCTGATACGGGACAACAACAAATTATTTTGTTACGAAACAGACTTGGCATTATTAGTTCACTCATGTTCTTTTTTGAAATGAAACAAAAAATTTGTGATCCAAAATTTATATTGTCATAAAGACGCGCGTTTATCGAAGTGCCATCCAATTGTGTTTCGGACATGCGACCTATATAACCTCTTTCGTTTTAACATTTTCATATTTGAACTTTATTTTATTTATTCGTATTTTTATTATTTAACATTTAACGTTTAACATTTTATTATACTACAGCTTACAATATTCGAATACATGTAGCAAATAGATTTTAGGTAGCTTTGAT